CTCATGCAGGATGTAACATTAACTATAAAAATTCAAGATATATATCCAGTGTATTTCATAATCTGACTGGATATCACTTTCACTTTATGATAAGAAAATAGCGACAGCTGCAGACTTCAAAGATCGTGTTACACTAATTGCTGAAAATAAATAAAAATATACATCTTTTACAAAATATATTGGTGGTTGTAATATTCACTTTGGATTCATTGACTTATTTAGATTTATACTATCGTCGTTGGAAAGTCTAGCATCTTATTTGGATCGACACGATTTATCTTCGAGTAAATATCTGCAAGATGATTACACTCAAGATTAAGAAAAAAATTATTTTTCAGGAAAGATTTTTTCCGCATGCTTACATCACTTTCTTTGAGAAGCTAAAAGATGAAACATTTTTTAGCAAAGAAGACTTTTATAGCAAACTTATCAAGAGCAACGTCTCTGATCATGACTATCATTGTAATTTAAACGTATGCAAAATATTTAGTATTAAATCTCTTGGTCAATGCTTAGATTTATACTAGAGGACTGACGTATTATTGCTTGCGGATGTTTTCGAAAACTTTTCACAACTTGTACATATGCGTATAGACATGATCCTGCACACTATTGCACTACACCTGGCTTAACATGGAATGCTATGTTGAGATATACGCAAGTTAAATTAGAGCTTCTTACCGATATATGTATATTATTATTCATTGAAAGTGGTATAAGAGGTGGTATAAGCTAACTGCGATGCGACAGAAAATAATAGATACATGAACAAAGGTTATAATCCAGTAGACGAAAAATTTCTTGTTTACAACGATACCAATAAGCTCTACAGTAGAGTTATAACATGGACCTTACCATCTGGTGGCTTTTAATAGGTGCGTGATCTGAATAGAGTAAATTTTTCCCATGTTTGGGACAATCACTTTACTGCTATATATTAGAAATCGACTTGGAGTATCCTTGGAGCTTACACGATGACCACAAAGATTTATCTTTATGTTCTGATTATATGACATCACCTAGTAGAAATCAAGAGAAACTGATGACTACTTTATACAGTGAGAAACATTAAATCATACATCGTCAAGCTTTCTAGCAAGCTTTAAAATATGGATTTATCTTACATTAAATACATAGAGCATTTGAATACTGAGAAAAAAAAAATACTAAAAATTAGTTTGAAAAATTTTTCTTTAAGCTATTAATAAACGCGGTTCTTGGAACAACAATGGAGAATGAACGAAAAAAAGTACACGTAAAGCTTGTTAATAAATGGCATGGGCGCTACAGTGCAAAGACCCTTATTGCTAAACCGAGCTTTCACAGTCGTACAATATTCGCTGAAGGTGTTATGGTCATACAACTTGTACAAACAGATATCACAATTATACAGCCTGTCCGCGTTGGACTAAGTGTACTCGATGTATTGAAAAATCTAATACATGGCTTCTATTATTCATACATAAAGTACCATTTTGCAGGTATGTGCAATTGACCATTCACAGGCACTGATAGTTTGATCTACGGAATTCAAGATAAAGACATTTATAAAGTTATGGGTAAAGATATCAATAAGATTGATGCATCATTATGCAAAAATGATGATCGTTTTAATATACCTCGAAATAATAGAAAAGTGTTTAAGCTCATAAAGGATTAGAATTCTGGTAAAGTTATGCTCGAATTTATCGGTCTTTGTAGTAAAATGTATTTCGGAAAATTGGAGCTCATTTCAATGCTGGATAAGTCAGAAAGCTCATCAGGTCATTCTCACAGTCAGATACAAAAGCTAATCCTACATAAGGAGGTATACCAGCCTGTGAAAGTCACATCCAATGTTGAACAAGCCAGAGAGCACACTAAATCCTCCTTCAAGCAAAATACAAAGGTTTTTACTCTTCTTGTCTATCAAAAGATAGAGCTTAACTTTGAGATGAGTAGTTACTTTTATCCTGACGATAGTAACTTTTAATTCGTGGATTGATAATGTATGTCTGTATAAATAAATATATTAAACACACGCGCGCGCGCGTGCGCAACACAAATTTAAACTTGTCTGTCTGTCTGTCTGTCTGTCTGTCTGTGTGTGTGTGGGCGTGCGCGCGCGTGTGTGTGTAATGCAAGCATTATATACTTGAAAGATATTTACTAAAACATGGAAAAATTTTCTGGCTGTCAGCATTATTTCGAAATTGTTAACATATACACAATTGCCATTCATATTTGTCTGCTTCAATTTCTGTTAATATTTACAAACATATGTATGTTTATCGATAAAAAGAGTTGAAGGTAAAAAAAGTGAAAGTCCGTAGAGGCAAAAATAGATAATAGATTTAACATCAGATTTAACAATCCAACTATTTGAAGAGATATCAAATTTTAACCATTTAACAAAAATTTTCTAAGAACTTTTTTCACAAGGTAGACATTAGAAAACTTGGTCTTCCAAAGTTCTTGTTTGCAAAAGCCATCATACACTGATTAACTTTTATGATTTCTTAAGTGGTTAATAGTTAGATTTGTTTTTGATATTTTAGTAACTGTGAAAATCTCTATAGACCAATTTGGTGGGTAATTTTTTTCAAAAGCATTTTCACCTTACTTGTACGCACTTCATTATTAACCTTAAATTTTTTTTTCTTCCAGGCTTACCTTGAGAGTTGTGGCGTTTCAAAATTTAGCTTCATCCGTTATTGTAACATTTTTTGGTTTCATAACTGTTGAGTGATTTTTCCAATTACTATAGGTTGTAATTAAATTTGGCAGTTATTTGAGCCATTAATAGTTATCATTTAAACTTAATTTGACTAACATTCTAATTTTCAATGTGCGATTAAATCTTTCACTATTAATGCTTTAAGGATACTTTAAGTTAAACAAAAAATTTCTTACTTTTCCATAAGATCTCAAAACTTTTGTTACAAAATTTTTTACCTCTATCGGTATGCGAATTTCTTGGTACTCTTTCTCGATTTAATATGGATTCCACTGCTGCTTTTACGGCATTCTCTATTTTCGTTTCACTAGTACGGCCCATGCATACTTAATAAATATGTCAATAATAATAAGCATGTATTTATAACCTTTGTTTTCTCTAGCTTATGGTGTAATTTTAACAATTCTTTATTTTTCCTTAAACTGATAACAATAATGAGGTAGATTTTCATTTACTTATATAGCAAAGAAGTGTTGTATGCACAATGGTACAGTACACCACGAGCATTCATGATTGTGATTTCGTCACACAACATACAGTTTGTACCAGTATTTTTTAAACAAAAATCAACGGGTGCTTCAAAAGGACTAGGCTTATTTGAAATGTAACCGCTCTTCGACCATGAATATTCAAACATGTTTACGAATCGAGGAGATGAGAACTCATTGTAGATAAGCGACTAAATTTTCAGAATATTGTTCCTCAAGTACCAGTCAATATGGTAATCATACAAAAGAATGATATCTGAAAAAAACTTATAAAGTTTTTCCAGTGTCTGAATGGTATACATCAAGTGGTTGTATAAGACCAGTTGTTCCAGTCGGTATAAAAAGAACTTTTATTTCTTTATCGTTGTTTTCAATGTTCATAAATATCTTCTCTTTTTGATCAGTCCCACAGTCTAGTCACTAAATCGATTTCTTACTGGCTGTCGGTATCAATACTTTTGTGAATCATTTAGTTCGCAAAAATCTTCCATAGCTAGTCGTACATCCCAGTGAATGTCCCTTCAAGACGTTCATCACACATACGGTTTTTTAACAGATAGTGTTCAAGCATCAAAAGTATACTAAAAATACCATAAGAAATACACAAAAAAAATTACAGATCGATCAACGGTACCCTCTTTCACATGTTTAATCTTTCAAATTTGCAATTTTACATGTAACCTTGAGGAAACACCACTTAATATTGCATTTATAAGATCTGCAGAAGCCCCTCAGTTTTTGTTTGTATAAAAGATTACATCTAGATAAATCTGTTGTATTTTTAAATAGATCTAAAATTTTTTTTTTTTTTAATAACACAAAAAAGAAGGGGTCAAGTATGCGTAAAAGCGTGTGTGTAAGTTCATCCATTTGAGAAAAATAATTTCCAGCGTTGCTACATATATTTGCGCTCCTCCTACCTCTTTGAATTTTGTTCTAAATCTCAAAGGAAAAATTGTAACAGAAGAAAACGCAGTAAGAATCAATTATTATTTTATGTATACAGTACCGAAATTTGTTTTTTTTTAAATTATGAAAATTGTAAAAACATGTGAAAAAATTGTATAAACAACAATTTATTTATTTATTTTAAAAGTAACAAATTGATGATAAATAAATGAATGTTCCACATTTTTGAAAAAAACACGTACTAAAAAAAAATATTTTATTAAACAACTTATGTATTAAATGAAGAATGAAACCAAATGAATGGATACACAATAAACAAAAATAACCATTGAAAATAAGTTACGAACTGTAACATAAACTGAAGTAATTGGTTTGTCGATGTAGGGCCCGCTCATTGCAGAGTAGGTAAGGGCCGTGGCCAGTATGCAAAAGGTCGGGGGGTTCAAATCTCTTTAAAATTTACAAAATTCAAAATGTGTGGTGTGGTGATGTCATGTGGTGCAGAGGAAACCGGAAGTATGTCACGGGGGACGAGGTAAGAGGAGGGAATCAAGCAAAATCCCCTTCCATCACACTTTTTCTCAAGGTAAAAATCTGAAATCGTTGATTTACCCTTACGTATAACTTGCCTATAGAAGTATTACTTCAAAAACTTGATCTTAACTCTGATATCAAAATTCCACACTCCTAAGAATTGTTGGACAGATAATTTTTATCAAATTACTTTTTACACCAACCTTACCTGATTTTTTGTTTTTGTTAAAAAGTAAATTTCATGAAGCTCTTGAAATCCAAACTTTCATTGTTCTGCTCACATTACAGAACAACTTTTAATTAAAACAATCAACATAATTATGACGTGCAGACGAAAAAAAGACGTATAAAGGTACCATCATTATTTATTATTTCGTAACAAGAAATAAAATGTTTGACGTTTACAGTAAGCAAATGTTTTTCGTTCGTTTATATTGTTTCACTAAATAGTGTCTTTCAAACACAATGTTCAACATAATTTCCTGGAAATAAGCCTGTTATTCCATCCATAACACCTTCCCACCAACCGTCGTCGTTTTTCTTTAAAACATATATTACCGAGCTTTCTTGAAAACTTAGTTCATCTTCTTTATCCGCATAGTAGTCGTAAATAGCAATCACTGAAAAAATGAATGGTAGTTAATTGTTGAAATCAAACAATCAGCTACAAAAGCAATAATTGCAATTATCAGTATTCTTATTGTTTGTATTTTTACAAAAGTCATTTCTATTATCTCTTAAACTAACTACTTTTTTATATAAGTAGTAAAAAATACAGTAGTTAAAGACACCTTTTTGTGATATTGACTTTTTTTTACCGTGGGCACAAAGTGCAGCTGCCGCTTTGCAACCTTGGGCTACACTTTGCGTCTCGTAAATCATTTTAGGCCCATTAGCAAAAAAGTTTTCTCCATCCTCCGTGCTCTATGTACTTTTTTGTTCTGGGATTCGAAGTGATTTACTAAGCACAAAGTGTGCCCACGAGCGCTAAATTGTACTTTGCACCACTGGTACGGGAAAAAATACACGTGACTCGAGCATGTACATATAAGAACCACGCCTTTCGGGAGCTTATGTTTGTACTATGTGCTGTAGTAACGTAATGTGCCATTTTCTATACAACAGTTGTTTTAAGCTACCTATTATTTATATACTACTGTTTATCCAACAATTTATTGCTTTGAGGTTTTCACAAGAATAATTTAATAGTACATTTGATAACTTCCAATTTAAATTATTGAGATTTAAAGTTGATCCTTGTAACACAGGGAATTTTTCAGAAATTCGTTAATCATTACTGACATCCAAGTCAAGGTTTTCGGCTGTAACTATACTAGATTGTACGAAATAAACCATCAGCAATAAGGAAGCGCATACATAAAGTAGTGATACTTTAGCAGATATGCTTGGACATCTTGTGATTCTCGTTCAGTACATGGACTAACGTAACCAGCAACCTAAAAATAAACGAGTGAGAAATCTAAAATCGTTTACGAACGTATTAATTGTCAAATGTCATTAGAAATTAATGAAAAAGGCAGAGAAATAGCAGAAGTGGCTGCGTAAAATAAAGCCAAATGAAAATATTAAATGTAGATTAAAGTTGAACAACATTACATACAATTACAGCATTTCTGACTATTTACAAAAAGTGACGCAACGAAAGGAAAAGTTGATAATCCTGTTAAAAGTGGACTGCTGGGGTGGGCGACTTCGAACAACAAAAGGGAGTTACGGTGGTCGAGAATCATTTCCGAGGATGTCAAATTGGCTGTAGAGATCAATCAACGATGAGAATGTTGGATCGTAGGCTCTAGGCGTGGTAAGGCAGTGCTTCTGCTGGATTCTGATGCCGCCGCTGGAGCTGGTGCCGCTGATGGGTGGTTTGGCAGTGACTTGAGGCAGTTGAGAAGAGCCTATTGCCAGGGTATTTGACTGCATCTCTCAGCTGTTAGGTAATAGCACCAAGGGGTCTAGACAATGGTTGGCAAAAGTGGGTGAAAAAAGCATCGAGACGCTAAGTCTTATGTGATAGTAAACATTGCTGTTTTATTAACATCAATTAGTGCTCTAGCCACTGCCGTAGTGTAGGTCTCGTCGAGCGAGCGAGAACCAAACTTTGGCTTATGATCAAATGATCCGGGTAGATACCTTCGAAAAGTCACGCAGCCCTTCTTATTTATCATAAGCAACTTTCTTACTTGCGATGTTTACCAGAAACTAGTAGTTGCCACCTAGCGAGTGGTAGGCGGTACTTTCAAACGCAAAGTTTCAAATTGGAGCTCCACGCAACATTTAAGAATCAAACTCATGTAAAACGATTGGATTTAAAGATATTAATTATTTTTTAAACGAATAATTAATAAAATAATGCGCCAGACGGTAAAAATCCTATTTTTGTAATTGACACTGATTAGTAGAAGTCATTCAGCCAAGCATATAAAGCTTGTATGGTAGAGAATGGGAGCCACGAATAACTTTATATATATATAAAATACTCGATGAAATATCGTAGTAAGTACAATTAATATAAAACTATAATTTAAATGGAATCAACAAAAGCTTAAACAAGTAAAGGTTAAGCTCTGGTACCTACTATAACCATATGTAAGTTTCAAGCAATACGGGTCATATTGAGTGTTAGCTCAGTTGGATACGCGTTATGTTTTGGACCCGAAGATCATGGGTTCAAGACTAAGTGTCGAAATTTTTTTTTTTGTCATTTCATATTTTAAAGTTCTTGATATTTATTCACTGATACATATTTATTTATTTATAAATTATTAAGGGCAGTAAAGCTTGCATGAATAAAAAACTCACTCCCTTGAGCAAATACGCAAGGTTCACTTATTTTTAAATACGCTCATTAATCTACGTTTTAAGTAATTTATTGCTAGCTACCCAATACACTCCACTGCCTGAAATTTTGTCTATTTCATTAATAAACAAAATTTCAAGCTTAGCCACGTTTTTTTTTATGATGAGTATTTAAAGAATTAAGAGTTTTATCCCAAGTAATTTTAAGCGCTCGCTTCACTGCGCTTTTTTTTTACTTAATAAGTACTTAAAAATTTTGGAGCCTCATCCCAACTAATTTCGAGCGCTCGATTGTACGCCTCCATGTATCCAATAAGTATTTAAAAATTTAGTAGCTTCATCTCCAGTAACATCGAGCGCTCGCTTGTGTACGCTGCGATTTATGAAATCATAACTTTAAATATTGAGAGCCGCACACCGAGATACTGTAAGCGCTCGCTTGTGGGCACTTTCATTAATTCTAAGCATACATTTATGATTAATATGATTATATTTAAATTATTTAATAAAATAAAAAATTTCTTACAAAGTTATCATTTAATATGACAAATATGTTAATATTATTTTATGTTTGTTGACGTGTATCACGCTGTTGTATGTCATTATTGATTGACGTATATCACGCTGTTGTATGTCATTATTGATTAGACAGGCTTTCACACCACCCGAGCGGTACTGTCTTCGGCACGTTGGATTTTCATTGAAACTATCGTGTTTGTTGATGGAGTATTGCAGTAAAAAAAGTAAGTTTCGGTAGTTGAATGATTAAAAATTAACTTGAATGGTTTGTTTATAAAAAAATTTAATTTTGTTGATCTACACATTAGTTTTAATAGTGGTATCTTCTCGCCAAGAGACCTTTTTTTTTTATTTTTCTTACTTCCAATTCTTTGGTTACTTTACAATAATACTGTTATTTTTAGTCAGTATTTTAATACCCAGGAATTATTAACTAAAAAGATCTCGAAGCCATAAAACCACTAAAACTTACTGCAAAAATACTGTCTCTCTTATTAAATAAGAACTTAATTTGAAATACAAGTATAATAAAAACAATAAAATACAATTAAGTGGGTAGAAAATTCACTTATGGTACATAGTAGCACTATTAAACTTATCAAAATGGTTTTGCGTTATCACCAAGTTTTCGCAATCAATATTATGCGCCTTTCCATATGACCTTAAGAAGCATCGTGCATTAAGTAAGGTAACACTAGTTTAATTGATTTTTCATCCTTAAATTCATTTACAGCAGAAAAAATTCGCCTAGGTTCCGCGTTTGAGTGAGCTATAGAAAAATTCGTTTCACTAAAGAAGTTAAAGCGGGGTAAAGCTTGATTTTTTAAATTTATAATTTTACTCCAAAAAGTTTCTGTATCAAAATTTATTAATAAATTTTTTTCTTGTTCGTCAAAATTTGTACAAATATCACGCCACTCCACGGCAATAGTTTCTGCATTTAAAAACGGAAAATACTTTAAAACAATACTATTCAAATTTGGATATTGTTGTCGTCCCGTTCCATTTAATATTACCTGTGGATGAAGAAACTCTAAATATTTAAAAATATCGTAATTTTGAAGAAAACGTTTTTTTATTTCATTAAAACCGCGAACGTAAAAATTCTTACAATTGCTCCGTACATTTCCAACCTCTTTTTTCGGTAACTTTACTTCTGTTCCCGAACACAAAGGTCCCAGATACATTTTTTCCGAGGGCACAAGATTTTCAGTAACATTAAAATCCGGTAAAAAAATATTTTCTATTACATTAAAATTTATGAAATTCGTTGCAAGTTGCGTTAATAATTTTTTTATAAATTCATGAATCTGGTGTGTTTTGTAAGCCTTAGATTGGAAGGATGCATTAAAAGAATTCAAGAAATTCAAGGTTAAATGTAAAAAACTCACGTAGGCTTTTACAGTATTATTTTGTAGTAAATTTAATACTTTTTCTGCGTTCGATTTAGGCTTATTTTTAGTACGTGACAGGCATGCTTTTTTAAATACTTCTACTGAAAAAAAAAAGAAATTAAAGCTGGCCACATAAAAAGAAAATGATCATAACATTTAAAAGCTTCAAGCCATCGCGTTCCCGAAAACTTGAGTACTTTATTATCTGCAAAATTTAAATCTTCTAAATTCTCCGATATTTCCGCGGTACGCTTTGGACTTTTTGATAAATAAGAGCACACGCTGCGAGCAAGTTCTTCTATTTCCTTCGGAAGCATGATACAACAATTTTTCGCGACGATCGCAGCCAAGTGGCAAGTACAATTGCGAACAATCAAATGAGGAGCATAATCACGAAGATACTTTTGAAAGCTGTTATGTTTACCGACCATAACACTAGCGTTATCACACGAGAGAGCAACTATATTTTTCATATTAATTGAATTGTCATTAAAGAATTTTTTAGATGCGAGAAACAGCTTGTGTGCACTACCTTTCTCAGCATCGATTTCAATTAATTGCAACCAATGTTGGACAACAGAATTTGTTTGCTGTGAAAAATACTGTACACAAAGCAAATTTTTGTTACTAATGTCAGTGCTTTCATCAACAAGAACCAAGTAATATGAATTATTCAAAATGTTTTTTAAATTTCNAAATTTTCAAACTCATTTTTAAACAAAACGTTATTAATTACTTTTGCACATTTATCCTCCTTCATACGAATATTTTTCACAGCTAGAAAATCCTCTACAAGGTTTTTAATAAACGGAACTAACTTATTGACTAGCCGAACACTGACAGAATTTTGTGCAATAAACATTGATACGCGCATCTCAACGGCATGAATT